AGTATGATATTCATATCTCACCCATCTGATGTTGTCCCAGCATCTCATTTCACATGTTGTGTTTGGTAGGTGGATCCTTCTGTCTTGGAAGCATTACCTCCTGATATCAGGGAACAGGTAGAGCAAACCTTCACCGTCCAAAATCAGGTAACATCTTCTGACAACAAAAAGGATCACTCAAATGGGAGCAACACGGTTGGTTTCCAGCAGCAGACAGTGGCAACTGTTCTCTTACAGATACCACCACTATCAGATCAAGGAGAGGAGACAGGCATAAATGTCATAGCCCTTCCAGCCTTCTCACAGGTGAGGTACATGGTAACTTGCCATTACTGTGTTTTTATACTTTATTACTAATATCAATTGTATATATTTTGGAACCAAATCCATGTTTGTGAATGTTAGGGATTTTAAGACTTCTTTTTGTAACAAATAATTATATTGAAAAAAGACAAGGATGCACCCAGATGGCTAGAAATTATATTTTGTTATCCATTGCCACTCTTTGGGTGACAACTTCTTAATTGTAAATGTTCTGCCATACCTTGTTTGTTTTTTAACAATGTTTCTCACAATGTTTTATTATTGTTATTATTATTAATTTCTTCAGGTGGACCCAGAGGTATTTGCAGCACTGCCTGTTGAACTCCAGGAAGAACTAAGAGCTGCTTATGGTCAAAGGAACCGACAGCCAGAAAATAGTATTAATCTAAACCCAGCTTTTGGTAAGGGCAATTGGCATGGTAGATGCAGCTTATGATGTATATTTTATTTGAGAGGTCTGGGTTACTTTTTGTTTTTCTTCTGATGATTATTTTTGCTTTTACTAGGGAAACAAAGTTAATATTGTAACTATATACTTCATTTTGTTTCCTTTCAGTTTCAAAAAACCCTTTATTGCAATTGAAAAAGCATGCTATGAAGTCGAAAAAAAAGAGGAAAAAGAAAAATCAGACAAGCCCTACAAAAAAGATCCAGAGCCCATTGAAAAACAAGCTCTTTAATAGCCCTCTTAAAAATTTTGTAACAACTGGAAGTCCTCTTAAACGTACTGATGAGCCTTTAAAACAAGAAGCCATACCCCCTGCACAGTCTCAGGTAAATTGGGTCTGGAGTGCTTAAACCGGAATAGGTGGTATCTAATAGAGTTCTTTAAAGCTTGGTTGTCTATCTTCATAATAACTTATGTTATTTCAATGTTCTATCATTATGTTGCTGAGTATAATTAAGTACTGTTTAACCTTAAGTGTAAATTATAAGGACTCTGGCAGACACTAATCATACTTTAATTAAGAGTTGATTGCTAGCAGGTTAGATTTCTGTCCACAAACCTCTTCTAGAGGTGTCTTTTTTATTTCTGAAGTCTGATTAAGGTGTAGTGACAGTGTTAAAGGATCACTTTAGCATTAGGAATATAAATCTGTATTCCAAGTGCTATAATGTCCTTAGAACTATATAGGGGTCCTTAGAAAACCACTTTCAAATCCTTTAGTTAGGCAGACTTGCTTAGACACATGAGTCTTAAAGGAGCACTATAGAGTCAGGAACACAAACATGTATTCCTGACGCTATAGGGTTAAAACCACCATCTAGCCACCCTGGTCCCCTCATGCCTCCCAAAATATAGTAAAATCTTACTTGTATTCAAGCCTGGAGCTGCTTATTTTGTCCCTGTTTCCTTTAGACCTGCCTGCTGACATCAGCAGAAGTGGTAGCCTGATCCAATCAGAATGCTTCCCCGTAGGATTGGCTGAGACTGACAAAGAGGCAGATCAAGGGCAGAGCCAGCACAATTCAAACAAAGCCCTGGCCAATCAGCATCTCCTCATAAAGATGAATTGAATCAATGAATCTCTATGAGGAAAGTTCAGTGTCTGCATGCAGAGGGAGGAGATACTGAATGTTTGGATGCATTTTAGGCAGCCATGACCCAGGAAGGATCTCAAACAGCCATCTGAGGAGTGGCCAGTGAAGTTACCACTAGACTGTAATGTAAACACTGCATTTTCTCTGAAAATAACGTGCTTACAGCAAAAAGCATGAAAGTAATATTTATACTCACCAGAACAAATTAAATAAGCTGTAGTTGTTCTGGTGACTATAGTGTCCCTTTAAATAATTTGAAAGGCTTATTCAACAATATTAAATTAACATTTTTGGATAAACTGTTAAAATTATTTTTAAGAAATATTAAATAATACGTGACTGTCATGATGGATGGTTGCATTTTGACCAAGCTCCTCCACTATTCTGCCATATAGAGCGATCTTCAAACTCAATTAACCCAGCTTGGGTGACATCTTGTATAATCTTTGATCCTTGACATACCGGTTACGATGAGCAGCCGTCAGAGATCCATCAGGAGTGTATATACTCCACCGTGGCTGCAGCGGACTGGTGCGCGTCGAGCGGGAGAAGCGGATGATCTTCCGGTGCGGAGGTGTCCAGACACAGCAGCCTTTGAACAAGAGCCCCGTTATGCACACACCCCCTCGGACCCGTGGGGGTGATCCCGGTCCACTCCTTGGAGACTTTCCAGACCAAGTAGGAGTGTGGGTTGAAGGCATGGGGGATGGCGAACCCTACCACAACTCACCTATAATGGTGGAGACCTTGTTCCCCTAGAGAGAGGGACGCACAGCTCGATATCATGTCCAGGCTGGACAAGACCGTTGCCAACTTCTGGCTGCAGCTGCAGCACAGGTTACACTACCCTACTCCACTGCAAGCAGGCGACCATTTACCTTGACTGCAGTCCCGGCTGGACCTTAAGTGAGGTACATAGGGGAATCCCACCTGCAGTGTATGCAGTGCATCACCAACCTTTCCACGGGCCCAGAGTCCTGAGGATCACCTACCTGGCGCAGGACTGGACTCTGCCCACAAAGGGCATAGGCTGACTTGGGCTCTGGGACTGTGCGAGCATGGGCTCCTGGTGAATCATCTTGTTCTCTTGCTGGTGTCCTGGTGGGGCAGCTGTGGTATTTCTGGCTTACCTGCGGCTTTTGGCACACTTTTACCTAATGATTACTGTCTCACCTTTACTGGTTAACCCTCATTGTTAGCACCAGCACATATTATCGTCTCAAAGACGGGGCGGGGGGCTCCTACAAGAATTTTCTTGTTGTCCTCTATGCTTCTCTATCTTGTTTATTACTATATATAAAAAAGTGCAGTCATTTTGACATTCTATGCTCAATTCAGAGCTACTACTATCCTCTAACGCTGTCCGGAATTTATATGCATGATTCATATGTATGATTTTCAATTCACTACTAAAATAAATGTAAAAAAAAAAAAATTACTATATATATATATATATATATATATATATATATATATATATATATATATATATATATATAAATAGAAATAATACCGGCACTCTAGGTCTTCCAAAGATCGTTTGTTTATTTTCAGTCAATCCAGAGGGTCCCTAGAGTGCCGGTATTATTTCTATTTTTGTATATTACATTGTGAATAGGCACCAGGCTACATTACTATATAGTTGGAGTGCAGGAATTCCAATTTTTATCTAATATATATATATATATATATATAAATATAAATGTGTGTTGTATCAGCTATAAAAGAAATATCAAAATGTTAACTTTTCTCACTTTATATTTTTTGGCTTTACTCTGTTTTGTTTAGTTTTTTGTAGGCATTGGATACACGTATTAGTTTTGTGAGATTTCATAATTGGACAGTTTTTTTATTATTGTCCATTGTAGTTTTAGTTTTGAGTTTCTCTAGGGCAGGGGTTCCCAATGAATTTTTCCCGTGGAACATAGTGTATCAACATCGTTGGAAAAAAAAAGAAGAAAAAATGTGCCGTTTTTGTATGTGTCTGTATGTCAAGGTGTGTTTCTGTGTTTGTAAGTGCCAGTGTATGTATCTGTGTGTGTGTATGTGTATCAGATACACGCACACACTGGCACATAGATATACACACCTTGACACACAGCGTGTGTGTGTGTGTGTCTATGTATCTGTGTGTCAAAGTGTAAGTGTGTGTATCTGTGTTTTGTATGTGTCTGTGTATCAAGGTGTGTGTGGGACATAACCCCCCCACACACATGAGCCGAGGCTTAATGCTGGGTAGATATCTGTATAATGGCACACACAGCAACAGTATTTATGCAGTATACAAACTCCTCCTGGGAGATAATTGAGTTAGAGGCTAGGCTAAGCTCAATTATCTCCAGGACAAAAAAATACAACATTTTTAAAACACCCCAAAAGTACCCCCAAAATACTCTGAAACCCCACAAAAGTCCCATGGATAGCTGGGATCTGGGTGAACAATATATCCGAAAATCACCCAGATCCGGTGGTTCGTCCGTACCATCGCATGGAAGTTTCCAGAGAAAATGTGGCAAGAGCCGGTCTCTGTTTGTGAGGCTTTTTCCCGAACACCATAAGAGTTATGCGAACGCTGGTTCATGGATGATGTTCCCCTCGTTCGGTAGTTTACTTTTACCTAACGGCGTTCGTGAATACGAAATATTCCGCGAATCGGCCGTGTGTGGAAGTCATCCGGGGTTCAGCAGAGTGCCTGGCCGAAAACAGTTCCAGGCACTCGACGACCAAGTCCCGCTGAGTATATTCGTGTGTTAAGATGGCCGCCATCCATTGTTCTCACCACGTGCGTTCGACTGCACGAAATGGCGGCCACCCACTACAGCGTTCGGCGGAATCCTTTTGATGTGGTTTTCAAATGCCCATGGTGTTAATAACTTAATTGGTGTTCTAGGAGGGGGTTACCGAACAAATGGGCGAACAAAGTGGGGAATTGGATAAAATAGTCAAACGAAGTCCATAAGATGGGGTTTTTCTTCACAGTGTGTATCTGTGTTTATATGTGCCCAGTGTGTATGAATCTGACACACAGATACACACACCTTGACACACAGTGTGTGTATGTATCTGTGTCAAGGTGTGTGTACCTGTGTTTGTATGTGCTGGTGGGTGTCAAGGTGTGTATATCTGTGTTTGTATGTGCCAGTGTGTGTGTGTGTGTGTGTGTGTGTGTGTGTGACACACAGATACACACACACACACACACACTGGCACATAGTGGCACACAGATACACATTGACATACAGACACACACACACCTTATCACACAGATACACACACTCAGATACACACACACTTGCACTCACAGATACTCACACTGGCACATACACACATTCAGATACACACATTGACACATATAAAAAGTGTCATATACACTCACTGACACACTTAGATCCACCACACGATGATACACACACACACACACACACACACACGCATACTGACATATACACTTAGATACACAAAGTGACACATACACAAACCTTGACACACAGACACTCTCACTGACAAACACACACACACTCACAGACAAGCACACATATACTCTTTGAAAGACACACTAACACATACAAACTCCCTAACAGACACACATACAGTTTATTATTTTATTAAAATTTTACTCCACCCTATCCCCCTACCTACTTGGGAGTGCTGGCATGGAGTCTCTATGTCTCTGGGATGAGCGTGCAGTCCCTGGGTTCCAGTTGGGCGGCTGGGCTGAGCGTGCGGTCCCAGGGATCCAGTGGGGCTTCTGAGCGGCAGGCGTGCGGGCGGCGAGGGAGCAGTGATCTCCCTGCTCACCTCCCTCGTGGGCCTCTTAGTGATGCCAGAGTGACGTCATATTCCGGCTCCAGCATCACTGCTGTGCGCACGAGGGAGCTGAGCAGGGAGATCACTGCCCACTGCTCCCTCGCCGCCCACGGCCATTTTATTTTTAAAAATTTCGGCTGAACACCAATTGGGAAACACTGCTCTAGGGGTTACTTTCCTTTTTTACATGTGGCAATGAGACACCAGGCTCTCTTATTTCATTTCTGACACTGCAAAAGGGAAAAGATTTCCATGTAAATAACTATTGTGTTTATACTTTTGAACAATAGCTTTAAAAGGCACCTGTTATGTCACTTTCCATGAGGCATAAACTAATTCCTCCTCATATTTCATCTATACATTGTGCCAGCCAAATCACTAGCAAATGTATAGATTTCTTGTTAAAATTGTGCTCTTTCTCCCTCCTGGCAGACTGACCCAGCTTCGATGTGTTGCTGTGCGTATGCGTGCAATCAACATGGCACTTACTCCAATAATCCGTGTGGAAGTTCTGGCAAATTACATATCTGACAAAAATGTGTGCACCCACACATACAGCCTAGAGGGTGTCCCCCAGACATACTACTTACCTGTCCAGCTGGTTCAGATAGATTGTATGTAGCACTTTTTGTGCAAATTGAGCATCTACTTGCACTTACTTGATTTCTTTATTTTCAGTATTTGGCCCTGCTTTAAACAGGGTGCAAAATTTGGAGTGCAGAGTTATTAAGGTTATTTTAGATTTTTTGGGTACTGCAGCAACCCTTCTCCTCTATCTCTATATGACCCTAGGTTAAACAGGAAGCAGGGAGCATGCTATCCCCACTCACACACTTCAACCCATGACAATGTTTTCAGCAGCAAGGAAGAATGGATTGACGACTGACGTCACTCCTTTCAGTGACGTCACTCCTTTCAGTGCCAATGTATTGCCAACATACAAGTTAAATAAAGCCACTAATAAAAAAAATGTTCAGTAACATGTAAACATAAATCATTCTATTATATATTTTCTTTCTCAAGCATTTTATTTGCATCTTCTTCTCTAGGTTGAATTAGGTGCTTCAACATCAAATGATCCAGGACCACTGAATCAAGCAGCCAATTCTTTCAGAGCAAAACCTCCCAATCTGGCTGGTGCTATTGAATTTAATGATGTGAAAACATTGCTGAAAGAATGGATTACCACAATTTCGGGTATGTCCTACGTGTTTCATATTGATATTTAATAATAATGAAACCATACACCATGTGTGTTTCAATAAGTTAGATAGCCTTTTAAAAGGGGAGGGGGGAAGCGGTGATGTACGGACGCACGCCACATTTCGCGGGCTTGCTAACCGATGCTGGCAGTGTGGGGAAGAAGTGTGGAGAGACACCAGCTCCTGAACGCAGGAAGATTTGAGCTGAGGTAGGAGAGTCGGCAGGAGGCCGTGGATTAAAGACGGACGTCTGAAGTACTGGGAGAAGGAAATGCTGGCGTATTTGTACAAATAACGATACAAACATTGAAAGGTACTCGTATATTATGCAGAACTGACTGGATCAGTAACCATAAGGTACCATATGATACCGTTTGAAATTGGATTTGTTGTGTATACAATACCTGATTATAGGAGGCAAATGTATAGCATTTTGGATGGTGAAATAATTTAGAAAGTCCACATATATATCCAGAAAAACTGATTTTAATTGGATCTCTTACATAAACAAAGGTGCAACAACGTCAGGATAAGATTAAGAGAAGGATAGGAGGAAGGGAAAAAGCTTAAAAATACTACAGAGGATATAAAAGAAAACACACCATTTAGAAGATAATACCCTTCTGAAGATTTAATCATTAAAGGCTAATAATTAGCTCAGAAAAAAAGATAGATCAAGAGGTCATTTGCTCATATATATATATATATATATATATATATATATATATATATATATATATATACACGGAAACATTTTGCCTAATTAATCTGCCTAATTTGCCATACACCCCCACCCCCCCTCACCCCCTTTGTTTTTTATTAAAGTTTTACAATAAAAATAATTAATAGCAAAACATACTATTCAGGGAAAGAAAGGGAAGAAGGGTATCCATCCATAATAACATAATATTACAGTTACATTCTATTCTGTATCACATAATCGTAATTGTAGATGGCAATTATAAACCATAGGTTGCTTTAACACACTTTTCCCATTGACCCAAACTATATTAAAAAGTTGCACAAATAAACTGGAACTTTGTCAATATGACATTTCGTGCATTTTATTGTCTAAAACTAAAATTAAAATTTCTTTGAGTGATGGGGTAATAGGTGATTTCAGTATCGTGGCAAACATGAGGTAGCAGTAATTAGGATGTGGCCTATGATAATTCTATCTATTTTGGTAACAGACTCTGGGATTTTTTTAAATAATGCTAGTTTGGATGAAATCCAATCCCAATGGAAATGGATGAGTCTAACTCCATGATTAGTCTTTGTATTACTTTCCAATATTTAGAACATTTTGGGCAGAATCACTAATTGTGGGCCATGTTACCTACACCTCCGCAATCCCTCCAACACCGGTCTGAGTATTTGTTGTTCATATTGTGTAGGCAGGAGGGAGCCAGATACAATCGATAAAGAATCTTTTAATGATTCTGACAAAGATGGTTTGTGCAATACGTGATACCCTTGAGAGCTGAAAAAAAGTTAAACTATTCCTCCAGACTGTATTGCGTACCTAGCTCCCTCTCCCACAACAACATGTGTTCTAGTTTAAAAGAGGGTTCAGTGTTGCATAGTGAGTAACATGTAGACAGTAGCCCTTTTCACCCTGGGTCATGTAAAAATATTTTTTCTAATTTAGGGCCCTCCAGAGATTTATCATTTCTATCCACTTCTCCAACATTAAATTTTTCCTTCAATATTTCACTAATTGCTGTGTATTCTGTTCTTATAGTATCGGCTAAGCAATTTAAATTGTAGTTTTTCAAATGAAAGAATGTAATTGCCCTGAAAGAAATCATCCAAATGTGCCATAGAATGGCTGTGCCAAAAATTTATGTCTATAGTAGGCAAATAGTCGGTTAATATTGAGATTGGCATAGCTCTATATAAACTTGAGCTCTGAACTTTATTCTTAAAAACAATATCCCAGGCCTTGAGTGTGGTTCTAGTAGATAAAAACATAGTGGTTGTTTTAGGCCTTCTGTCCAAATTAAACCATAGAGTATCCTTTAGCGAGGCTGGTAAAACTTTTATTTTCCTCCATCTCCAACCATCTGGGTTTGTTGTTATGTACATTAAAACTAACTGCTGTAGTGGCATTAGTGGCAAAATAATATTTGCGGGTGTCGGGTACACCAATGCCACCGTTAGCTTTGTGGTGCTGTAAAGACGTTAATTTAATTCTACCAGGCTTGCGATTCCATATAAACGTTAACATAACAGAGTGAATTAACAAAAAAAAAAAAAAGATAACTGGATAAACAGGGATATTTTTGAGCGGTATTATCAGGTATACACAAAGAAGAAAGATCCTCAACAATCCACTGCTGACACCCACTGTACCAAAGCACAATAATAGAGAAGGGGAAAGGAAGAGAGAAACGTAAGAGACACTTATTCCTCCTGATAGACAACTGTTCACCTATCAAAATAGCGACAAATAAGTGAAGCTAAGAATACTACAAAAAAAAAAAGAAGATAAAAACGAGTCAAAAGAGGAAAAACAACTATCAGCATTGTTATCTCCTCAGGCTGAAAAAAGGGACAAATTAAATAAAAATCAAGAGAAACATACATTTGCAAGGAGAGGAGAATCAAGACATGCTTAACATAGAACCTTTACATATAAAGGGTATCACTCCAGAATATCTGAAATCCTGTCTTGACAATCAATTTGAAAAAAATCAAACAACAACTAGAAACTTTGTTGGAGAACGTAAAATAGATATAGAAAAAAATGACAAATCGGATGGAAAAAATTGATGAGAAACTAGAAGTACTATCTTATCAAAACAAACAGTTGGAAGATCGTGTAAAATCCTTGGAGCAGGAGACAGTTAATCTTAAACTGAAATTAATTGAGAATGAAGATAGAGCACACAGGATAAATCTCAGAATCAGAGGAGTACCAGAGAATGTTGCTATACATGAGATGGGAAAATAGTTGGACACATTTTTTATCTTCTTAGATAATCAGGACTTAAGTAAGAACTTCATTGAAAGAGCGCATAGATTGAACAAACGGACAAATATAGCAGCCTCTCTCCCAAGAGATATTGTATCATGCTTACATTCCTATAGATTTAAAGATCAAATTATTCAAGTATATAGGAAGAAGGCAAAGAAAGGTACGAAGTATGTGAATATTTGCGTATTTCCAGATCTGTCGATCAACACAAGACTGCAAA